ATAATAATAATAATAATAATAATAATAATAATAATAATAATAATAATAATAATAATAATAATAATAATAATAATTTTTAATTTTATTATCAAATATATATTGTGAAAGTAAACAATTTCATAAAATAAATTACGTACCATTCGATCGATTCAGCCATCTAGCCCGCTTATTTAATGGTATAAGTCCATCTAGTACTTCAACTCTACCCTCTGGATTATTTATGTTTCCCCATAATCTAGCAGGTGACTTTCGTTTTTTTTCTAAATAATGATTCCAATAATATTCATTTTCAAATATTGCCATTTGTAGGGTTTCATTATCTTTGTTTCCACTCTTGATACTCCTTTGGACGTTATATTCCATATTAATTCTGTTACTAGTTATAGCGTTTTTGTCCACGCTAAAATTTTGAAAAAGTATATTCTTGGAAGGATATAAAAATGAATTTAGCAAATCGCCACAGTCACCACATAATAATTTACTACTAGATTGTGATTGATCAGAATTATTGTTATTATTGGTACGATTGGTAGTTTTTTCACCACATTGAAAACACTGTTTTGTCCGTGAGGAGGCTACTACGCGTTCGGTCATCAGTGACTTATGCGGTTTATCAGTAGATGTAATTAATGCAGAATTGTTCGCCGATATAGTTGAATTTGAATTGATGTTGATGGAAGATTTGTTATTGTTTGTGATAACGATTGAAGATGTGGAACTTTGGATCTGTGTTGTTGGTATAAATGATGAGATTGTAGGTGTATTTAGACATTGTTTTGTAAAATTTGATGAACTTTGAGGATTTGTTTTTGTGGTACGTGTAATAGAAAATAAAGTAGTAGGTCCAAAATTCTGTATATATCAAACAAGCAAATGAATTATTTGCTGCTTCCTTGAAGTGTAGTGAGAGTAAAGAGAAAATAAATTTTACTCTTTTGTTTGGTCCAGTGATGATATCTTTTCGTTGACTACCATTGCTGTTTTCCCTTTTTGCATTACTCGGCCCATCCTTCTTATTGATATTTATTTGGTCTAGGACTAAAAATTAAATATCAAAGAATTAGCTTATGATATAATTTATAACATAAATTTTAGATAGTCATTGATTGTAAATTGACGTGATTCACACACCATTATTAGTACTTTCTTTTCGTACATGTCTTTTCGTAATAGTAGTAGTACAATCTTCGTCCCCAGTATTAGGACCATCAGACAAATTATTCCCATTAGCACCGGAAGTACCCGTGTTTACATTACCACCGGAGGTATCCTCGTTGCGAATCCATTTAAATACGGGAGGTACCAAACCCTTTTCAAAATAAAGCGTTGCCAAAGTAACAGCTTTGTCTTTTTGAAAAGCTTCAGAATTTGGACCTTCCATATATGTTGTGTATGGTTCAATTTTTGGGTCAAATGGTTTTTGATCTTTTTCGGGTACTATGGAAAAGGAGCCGTCTTCGAAATAACAAACCAGGCTTTCTCCATCACCCGGATATTGAACGTCATTGTCCATTTTTTGTTTAAATATTTCGATTTCTTTTCGCGGAACAACCTTTTTTTTAAAAAAAAGAAAACAAACGTTTAGTTAGATAACTTCAGAAAGTAAATTACGTGCCACTAAAATAGATGATTCGGTTTTAATTACTAACTAAAGCCGGCCACCAGTGAGGAGCATCAGGATCGTCAGGATCGACAAAAACAACTTTTCTTCTTATGTGTTTGGATTCACTTAACCGTCGGTTATTAGATCTGATTTCCATTGCGTTAAAACTTTATGAATCGTACTATATTAATTTTTTGACTACTATTCCAAGGCCATTATTAGAAGAATTAGCTGCTGCTACGAT